ACATACAAGCGTTCGGATTCTGCTTTGTGTCGCCGCCTGCCGTAATCTCCGACTTCGACAAATCGACGTCTCGAATGCATTTCTCTACGCGCCTGTCGACGCACTTATCATGGTAGAGTACCCGCATTCTTATACTACTAACCCACCGAGCGTTTGCCGTCTGCGGAAATCTCTGTACGGCATTAAACAGGCACCACGGCTCTGGCAGCAGTATCTTCACTCGCAGCTGATCATTACTGGATTTCGACAACTACCGCATGATCAAGAAATGTATCTACTGACCGACGGCAGCAACTACATTTTACTCGTTGTCTACGTCGACGACATCCTATAGGTAAGTACTACAGATTCTCTTGCCGAGACCTTCATACTGAAACTACAGAAAAATCTACAGATCACCGTCTCCGCAACAGTCTCACAGTTTCTTGGTCTGAACATTACTTGCTCACCGACGACTATTCATCTCACCGCTTCGAAGTACGCAGCAACTCTCGCTGCCCGCTTCAATCTCACGCCTACTACAGTCTCTACACCTTACCGCTCACTACCGACTAACTACAAACCGAACACTGCACTGTTAAGTTCAACAGGTTTACAGATCTATCAGCAGCAGTTAGGCTGTCTACTCTTCGCCGCTGTCACTTGTCGTCCTGATCTAGCCTACGCGGCCAGTCAGCTCGCTCAGTTCCTACGCCGACCTGAGGAGGAGCATCAGCTTGATCTGCTTCGTGCACTTCAGTATTTTATCTCGACACCTGACGTCGGATTAGTCTACAACGTCATCGGCTGTAAAACACTCTATCTACATGGTTTTGTCGACGCCGATCACGCTGCTGATTCTACTAATCGACGGTCGCGCACTGGGTTCATCTATCGACTGGAACCTGTCGGACCTATCTCTTGGAATTCTACGAAGCAGGAGCTAATTGCACTCTCCTCTGCTGAAGCCGAGTTTATTGCTGTCCGCACAACAACACGCGAAGGACTTTACTTACAGGAACTACTGGAAGAAGCGAAGTTGACGACAACTACCCAGTTTACCCTACAGTGCGACAATCAAAGTGCAATTCGCATCGCACATCAACCTGGTTTCGTCAACAGGACGAAGCATATTTCGCTTCGTTATTTCTTCGTCAAAGATGAAGTCGAAAAGGGGAGGATGCGATTGGTCTACTGTTCGACCAACGAAATGGCTGCCGATTTTCTCACGAAGAAGCTGACACGACAGAAGTTTCAGTACCGTAACAAGCTTTGTGGAATCTTCAAGAAGTGACACTATCGACGTTCCAGAAATGAAGGGGAGTGTTGTGATATAATTGGTACTTAGCATTTCTGTAAGTCGATTATGTGTAGTGCCGAATCCTACTGTAGAAGATAAGTCCGTAGGATGACGTCAGCAAATAGCGCTCGTCATAGGACAGTCGTTTCAGTCACGCGAACAGTCGCACCTCTTCAATATCATCTAGGGCGCATAGCGCGATAGTGACGAACAGGTACATTAGCAAATAGTTACTTTTCCTAGAACTAAAAATACTTGTTAGGTCTTTTCATTATTAACTTTGATTACCCACAAGTTCACGTACTCACGTTATTCTGTTCAAATTATACAAGTTATAATTTAATATAGGCTTGGTAGGTTGTTACTGAACCTTTTTGTAGGGGGTACAAACCCCTCCTTGTACTCCTCTCTCTTCCTAATCCATACTCTTCTTTCTCGTCACTTTTGCCTACTCCTAGATCTACTTGCCTCACGCCATTCCATGGCGTCCTTCCTTCCTTCCTAGCTAAGCTAGGTTCCTAAGTTTAGTTCCTATCCTAAGCTTCTTTGAGATGGTATCAGAGCCGGAGATCCTCCCTGTTGGACCGCCTCCTCACGCTTCCGCCATTTACTCCTCAACCTCATTCGCTCGAGCGGCCATGGCGGCCGCGTTTTGCTGCAGTGGCGACGTCGCGCTGCCACTGGCCGCGTCGTGCCGCGACCGGCTCGACGCGCTGCCGCGGAGTCGGGCCGTCGTTCGGCAGCCGCAGCGTCGACGTCGCTCTGTGACGGCGCCGTCGGACCGCAGCCGGTTGCGCGACGCCTGTGACGCCGCCACCGCCCGCACGCCATCACGCCCACGACCTGTCGCGCCACACCGGGGGCTGCTGTCGCCCCGCCCCCTCCCCTCCCCCCCCACCTGCACCTGCTTCCCCTGCATCCCCCCCTTTCTTGTTGCAGCCGATGACTGCCTTATGAGGGACCTCTCCACCGCCGAGGAGACTGGACATGCCGCCGAGAGGGCGGGGGCCGCCGCACCAGCCTCTGGCGTTCGAGCCGCCGCCGCCGCCGCCGTTGCCGCAGGCCTGAGCCGCCGCACACCGCCGCCGCCGCCGCTGTCGTCACTGTCGCTGCTGCCGCCATTGCCGTCTCAAGGGGCCGTGAGACCTACCCTCTTCCGGAGTCGTTTCGGCTCCTGCTGGGAATGGGGGTGCTGGGCTAGGGGGTGTGGGTGTGGGTGTGGGTGTGGGGGTGTGAGTGGGCTTGACACTACCAAGCCTAGGGGGTGTGTTCAAATTATACAAGTTATAATTTAATATAGGCTTGGTAGGTTGTTACTGAACCTTTCTGTAGGGGGTACAAGGCCCCCAGAAGTCAGGAATATTTTCCTGATTCAGGAAAAAAACAGGGAGTTTCTCGGTACTTACCCTGATTGTGTAGGGTTTTGTAAAAGACAAACCCTGTTTTTTCAGGTTTTTTCTAAGGGTAAACTCTGATCGCTCAGCAAGGTTTTTTAGCGAACCCTGAATTTCTCAGCATTGTAGCGGGTCTTAGCCCTTTCCAAAAGCGTGTCTAGGGGGGGCAGTCAAGAATTTCGAGGTTCTCCCCCCCACTTTCCCCCACCCCCAGAGGCTGTGTGAGGGCGCTGATTGGTCCTTGGTCAAAAAAATCTCCGCGTTGTATGTTGGAGGTCATATGAGGGAGGTGTGCTGAGTGTTAAAATTATATAAGTTATAATTTTATATAGGCTTGGTAGGTTGCTACTGAACCTTTCTGTAGGGGGTACAAACCCCTCCTTGTACTCCCTTCTCTTCCTAATCCAACACTCTTTCTTCTCGACTTTCCTCCTACTCCTAGATCCGTTTTTCCTAGCGCCGTTCCATGGCGGCCTTGCTCCTATCCTAGCTAAGCTAGTGTCCTAACTTTAGGGACCTAGCATTCTAAGTTCTTAACATGGTATCAGAGCAGGAGATCCTTCCTGCTGGACTGCCTCCTCTCACTTCCGCCATTTACTCCTCACCCTCATTCACTCCAGCGGCCATGGCGGCCGCGTTTTGCTGCAGTGGCGACGTCGCGCTGCCACTGGGCGCGTCGTGCCGCGACCGGCCCGACGCGCTGCCGCGGAGTCGGGCCGTCGTTCTGCAGTCGCAGCGTCGACGCCCCGCTGCGGCATCGACGCTGCCATGGCGGCCGCGGCGACGTCACGCTGTGGCGTCGTCGTCTGTTCGCCGGCTGCGCCGTCCTGCCGCAGCCGTCTCGACACGCGACCGGGACGACGTCAGCGCGACGCCGCGGCTGCGCCCCTCCTGGGCCTCGTCGCGCCCTGCCTGGCCTCATCGCACCCGCTCGGCCCCGTCGCGCCCTGCCTGGCCCCGTCGCCCTCTGCCCGGCCCCGTCACCCCCTGCCAGGACGCCGTCGTCCCGCCTGTAAGCGCCGCGCCATTTATGGCGCGACGCTGAAGACTCGCCCCGCCCCCCCCCCCCCATTCTCCCTTCCCCCTGCGTCTTCCCTTCCTCCTGTCGCAGCTGCTGTCTTCTGCCCGGACGTTGCCACATCGCCGAGAGCCCTCAGCCGCGGCAGTCGCCGCCTGTCGTCGGCGACCCAGCCGCCTTGAGCCAGAGCTCCGCGGCTGCTTGTCGCTGACCCGCCTAGACGCCGTCGGCTGCCTCGTGTACGGGGGTGTGTCAACGCTTTGCCTGAGGGTCAGATACCCGGCTAAGCACGAGCCTGAGGGTGTGCGGGGTTAGGGGGTGGGTTGGGTGCGGGTGTGGGGGTGTGAGTGGGCTTGACACTACCAAGCCTAGGGGGTGTGTTAAAATTATATAAGTTATAATTTTATATAGGCTTGGTAGGTTGCTACTGAACCTTTCTGTAGGGGGTACAAACCCCTCCTTGTACTCCCTTCTCTTCCTAATCCAACACTCTTTCTTCTCGACTTTCCTCCTACTCCTAGATCCGTTTTTCCTAGCGCCGTTCCATGGCGGCCTTGCTCCTATCCTAGCTAAGCTAGTGTCCTAACTTTAGGGACCTAGCATCCTAAGTTCTTAACACTGAGGACCGTGTGAGGGCAGTTGCTAGCCCTTGGCCGAATTTGCTTGATGTGCGCCTGCCCTAGGGCTCTGCGAGGGAAGAGATTCCCTCCGCCCCTGCAATCTGGTCGCCTCCCCCCTGCAATCTGGTCGCCTCCCCCCCTATTCAGCCCTTCCCCCCTCTCCCCCCCACCAATTGTTGTTTCCTGCCCATCCCTCAATCTCGCCACACGCGCGAATTCGCTACGAATTCCCAGCACCCCCAAAAACCAGGACTTGAACACACAAAATTCATGAACTAAAACATGTATAGAAATATTGAAAAATCAGTTTTTTTTTTTAACAGTAATTCTGATGGCTCAGGATTTTTTTTTAGGGGACCCTGAAAATTCAGACTTTTCTGCAGGGAGAATCCTGATGGATCAGGAAGCCTCAAAACCAATCTAGGGCCCTACAAACCCCTCCTTGTACTCCTCTCTCTTCCTAATCCATACTCTTCTTTCCTGTCACTTTTGCCTACTCCTAGATCTACTTGCCTCACGCCATTCCATGGCGTCCTTCCTTCCTTCCTAGCTAAGCTAGGTTCCTAAGTTTAGTTCCTATCCTAAGCTTCTTTGAGATATTCAACCTTGACCTTTATATTTTACAAGACTTCCGCTGTCTCACTAGTCTACCATTCCAGCAAAGATCCTGGACCAACACTTGAGGATTTGCCAAGTGTTCGTGTTTATAGTTTTATACTTAGTCTATTACAACACCAGTCGATTTACTTCAGCTATCAACATGATGGCTGGCTGGCTAACCTAGTAATCCCCTACCTGCAGAGTGGAGGGCAAGAAAAACCAAGAGCACCAATACCACTGGTGCTAATGAAACTCCATCTATGCACACACATGCTGCAGCCCACGCCACACGCAGCCCACACGCAGAGCCCACACGCACAGCCCACACCCGCAGCGCAGCCCACACGCCCAGCCCACACCCGCTACACACTTTCACACAGCCTTCCCCCCTCCTTGTCCTATGATGGCCTTGAAAAACTGGACGCCCTTGGAGATGGGGGAGTCAGAGGCAACAGACGCATACAGAATCGTCTCAATCCTCTCCGCATCCGGGCGGGCAGGCAGGGCAGTGAGCGGGCGCATTGCACTCTCGCCCTTCTTCTGAGTCAGCAGCACCCACGGCACAGGGGAAGCCACCGCACCTGGCCCCCCCCCATCTGCTCCCCCTACTACTCGCATCAGCGCGCCCTCGTTGCCTCCGAATAGCCCCTGGACCGCCAGCGGCATGAAGCAGTACACCACATCAAACTCCTTAACGAGATCTGCTACTAACGAGGATGACGCATCCGCACCCCCAGCAGCAGCAGCAGCAGCAGCAGCGGGTGCTGAGGCCCAGGCGGGGTTGAGGAGGAGAACGGGCATCTGCCCAGCGCTGTTGAGCACGGATTTCACCTTTCCGGCTTGGTCCTCTGTGGGGCCCACTATGCACACCAGGGCAGCGTCACGAGGCACCGACTGCCTCTCACTCAAGCTAGCAATGTCCCACTCGATCACCGCTGCCGCCGCCGCTCCACCCGCTGGCCCTGCTCCTCCCTCTCCTCCCTCTCCTCCCGCTCCTCCCGCTCCTGCTTTGTCCTTATTAGGGTCTGCAGCAGCAGCAGTGGCGGCAGCAGCAGGGCCGAAGAGCAGAGACACGGCGCAACTCGCGGGGGCGTTCCCGCCTACACTCGCCCCTCTCCCCGCTCCCCCCCGCCATTGCACCTGGGCGACGGCTCTCCGCACCAAGTCCTGCGCCGTTTCCGCCAGAACCTGAGGGGAGTCGTCTCGGAGGGGGATTTCCACTTGAAACCGCGCGCCGGCGGAAGCGGCTCCCCCTGCCCCTCCGCCGACCCTTCCGCGGATTTGCTTGCGCTGCTTGAGTGTCATGGGCTCTGCCGCGCGAGATGCGGCGCGGACTGCGGCGGCCACGCACTCGCCAGCTTGGCGGAGCGCATCCTCGAGGGATTCGGGCGGAGACACGCGGGGGACAGGCGGGGGCGTGGCTTTAGCAGCAGGGGCAGGGGCGGAACGAGCCTCGGAGGAGGACGGCGAGGGTTTTGCGGAGGGTTTTGCGGGGGACTGCTTTCGTGGGCGTGACTTGGCCTGCGCGTGAATCAAGAGGCTTCGATGTGAAATTTCTCTGCGACATTTGTGGTCTATGGTGGCGGATACGGGCAAAGGGGAGAGCGTTAGAATGCGGCGAGAAGAGAGGTGCTCCGATGCTCGCGATTGGAGCCGCGCGGTCGGAGAGGCCGCGAGCGCGAAACAGAGACTAGACGAGGTCAGTAGCAGCTGCGCCATTGGTGGGGGAGCGCGCGGTTTTTAGTTACTCGCAGCTACTTACCCCACCACTTTACTGGAAAGTGTGGAAGGATGTGGTTGTTTGGGGGGGCGTATGGCGAATGGAAAATGTTTGGGCTGGCACAGAAATGCTTCTGATGGGGATCTTTTAGTGAACAGAAAAATAAAATCGCTGGTTGTAGTTATTTCCCATCACGCTGCTTGTAAGGATATGTGCTGAAGTGCGCGTTACGCAGTATCGGGTTTCCTAGTTGAATGGTGATGACGAACCGAAGCTTCTCGGCAAGCTTCTAAGATGAGCTTGGAGGTGGATTGGGGGGTGGGTGTACCTGTCGTGGTGAGGGGTTGATTTGAGGCACATGCTGTCTACAAGCACTTTGGACTGAACAACCCTATCGTCATCGTGCAAGATCCAACAAAGAGCCACCCGCTAAACCACCAATCTGCCACCTGGAAACACATCTGTTTGACAGCTCAGATTGGAAATTGTTCAATTCAACTTCGAAACGTTACTGTAGGAGTCAGGTGTACAGAAGACAGTCCTAACCAGATTGCTTGCTCCTGTCTACAGTCGCGAACCGTTTCTGTAACAAACGCGCATTGTCTTCGCGAGTACACTCCGGGTTACACAGTTCGAGGAGGAAAGGAAGTGTTCCCGCTCTGGGCTTCACTCCGTTGACTCGGCCTCGCGTTTCATATCATCCCAATGTGCAGGCACAAAGCACAGAAGGAACAGCACTCCTTTGGGCGGCCTTGACAGCTGTCTTGGACGGGTCTTTCCATATTGGTGAGCGGTGAGTTTCATGTGGTGGTTAGTGCACCTGCCGCCGCTTGGTGGCATTGGTTTGCATGCGCCTGTGTATGGCGGCTGGCTTTCAATGCAGATTCATGGCAATGTCAAATCTCAACCCTGCCCTAGTCTTGGGGTAGTTTTCGTGGGTGTTTTTGTACTGAACCTGGTGGTGTGAAACTTAGCGTACTGCAATTATCACAACAAAGTGGCTGCTTTCACTTCGGCATAAAATGTGTGTACACCTGGGGCAGAACTGATGAAGCTGCTAGTCCTTGCTTGTTGGGTATCATCAAATAGTCACGGTGCACTTTTCACTGTGTTCGGTGTGGTGTGTCTTGAATGGGGCCACTCCACGGTCGACACGTGGGTGTCCTTCTCAAACCCTCCAGGCCAGCCCTCCGCTCTTTGTCTCGGATCAGATCCGTTCGGTTCGGAGGCAGGCGAGACTTGGGGATGAGCACAAGCTCAACAACAGAACTTCCATCTTGGCGGGTCCACGTCAGCCTAGCTTAGACGGAAAGCAGCGAGCACTCTGTTGGCTCGGCTCGCACCGAACCTCGTTCCTTCGCATTATATCAGGCTCGAATCACTGCCATACCTTCGAGACATCCCATACCTCTCACTGACCTTCGTACCCCCAGCCCCCTCCTGCTCCATCTCCCCCCTCTGCCTATTACACCTGTCTAGAAAATCCTTCCATCCACCACATTTGGAACTGTAATTGCACCACTTTCCATGTCCAAATCCATCGTTCCTGCCTCTTCCACTTAGACGACTTCCTCGTTTCCCGCTTCTAGCCACATCCCCAGCCCAAGTCTGAATGATTGGTGCAGCATTGCCCCCTCCGTACTGCCCTGTCTTCTTGCTGCGCTGCCGCCATTTTCTCTCCCTGGACCCGTGCCCCTTTTTTTTTCTCCAGCTCTTACTCTCTTCCTCTTCCGTGTTGATCTGTTTCACTCGTGTTTGGCGTTTGGAATAAGCCGTCCCCGAACGGCGTTTCGCTGTCAAGCACACCGACACTGTCTCCTAGCTCCGCTGTAACTTAATTACTCTGATTGACTGACCTTACCTCCTTGCACTCGGCACAACAACCAGAGAAAACTCCATTGCTGTGCGCGCTAACTGCGCGTCGCATCTGCACCTGCATTGGAGGTAAACTCCAATCTCTACACGCGTTCCTCTCCTCTCCACGTCAGCCCCGACCAATCCCCACCTCGCGTTCTCGGCGAATCATCGCTGGAATTTCCGGAGGCGCGTCCCGGCGCGTCGCGTCGCGTCACAAGCGGCAGCAAGCCGTGTATGGCTGCTAATGTATCTCCGTGGAGGAGCAGTAAGCCTTGAAGACCCTGGAAACAGAATCCGGGAGTTCCTGCGACTGGCGTGTGCCAGCACGCGTAAATAATCCGCGGTGACCGGTGGCAACGTTGCAACTAACGCGACATTCGGAGCACATCCTGACCACATTCCGAGCACATTTAAGCGCATTTTAAGCATATTCCGAGCTTCCCGAGCAAGAGGATAGGGAGACGAAGTTGGCGGAATGGCGTCTGACATGGACTGCCCGTGCGAGCGGCTGGTGGTGGCGGTGGGCAAGGACAACGCGTCGAAAGAGGCCATCCGGTGGGCCGTCGCCAACAAGATTCGCTCTTCCAACGACGTCCTCATCCTGCTCCACGTCGTCTCCCGGCTGCCGGGACCAAGTAAGCTTGAAACCGCAATGCGGACTTAGAAGTTTAGTTTTGAGACGTCTCAGAACGTCGCCAACAAGATTAGGTCGGCCAACGACGTCCTCATCCTGCTCCACGTCGTCTCCCGGCTGCCGGGACCAAGTAAGCTTGGAATCACAATGCGGGTGAATTCTTTTACAGGTTCACCACATTCGCCTTTATTCTCGCTATCAAATGAAATGTTCTCACCAGCAGCACGTGATGGTTTCATTGCTCTGCGTATCCTCCTCGTCCGTCCGTACGTCCCGCCCCTCCCCCCCCTTCCCCCCCGCCCCCCTTTTCCCGGTGGCAGTGGGCACGGAGATATACCAGAGCGAGGTGAACAACACGCTGTTCGTGCACTACGTGCGCACCGTAGTGCAGCCCATGATGTCGCTCCTCAAGTCCTCCATCAGCGCGCATGTACGACGCTCCCCCTCGCTCCCCCGCGCTCCCCCTCGCTCCCCCTCGCTCCCCCTCGCTCCCCCTCTTTCCTCCTCTCTTCCCCGCGCTCCTCCGCGCTCTTTTCTCTCTCCCCCCTCTCCTCGCTCCTCCTCGCTCCCCTCGCCGCACTCCGTCCTCGACAGTCGTAGCTCCCGCTGTTCCATCCCTCGCCAGTTCGGTAACGCCGCACTCTTTCCTAACTCGCCGTCCGTCCCCTCTCCCTCCTCCCGCCTGCATTCCCCTTCTCTTGCTCCCCCCCTCCCCCCCTCCCTCCCTCCCTCCCTTCGCGTCCTCTCCCTCCGCCCCCTCCGTCGACGTCCTTCTCTTCCTGCGGGTCTCGTCTCTTCCGCGCATCGCGCACCCTCATGCAGGTGAACGTGCAGATGAAGCTGGCGCGCCACAACCACCGCGACAAGGGGACCATGGAGGAGGCGCGCAACCTCGGCGCCACCACGCTCGTCGTCGGTAGCAATGGCCGCTCCTCCCTCTTCTCCATGTAAGCGCCCCCTTTCGCCCCCCTTCTCCCCCTCCCGCCTCCCGCCATCCTCCCCCACCTCCCCCTTCCCCCCCCCCCTTCTCCCGCCCTGTCCCTCCCCTTCTCTCCCCCCCCCACGCCGCCTCCTACGGGTGACGTTTCCCCCTTCCCCTGTGTCCATCTGCCTCTCAACATCGTGTATGAATGGAACAGAACAGACAGACAAGCCGAGCAACTTAGAACAGAAAATAATAAAAAGGAACGGTTTTATTTACCTCTGCTCGCTACCCGTAAACGAATTAATGCACAGGTTATGCACTTCAAAACCTTTGTTTTAGTCATCCCCCATTTCCTCATCATCACTCTCTCTATTCCCCAAACCCCCCTGTCGCCTTCTCCCCCAAGTAGAATCCTGGCCTCCATCTTCTCTGTTTCCCTTTCCGCCCCTCACCCCAACGCTGAGAGTTTTGCTCATTATGAAATCTCAGAATCCAACGTGCTCGCAAGCAATCCCCCTCCCCCATCTCCCCTCCCCCACCTTCCCCGGCCTTCAATTCGCCTCTGACGAACGTCCACTCTTTCAGCTCACATATTGCCTAGAACGAAGAGCTACAATCTCACCTCAACACCACCACCTCCTCCCCTCTCCCTTCCCCCCCCCCCTTCTCCGTTTCCCCTCCTCTCCCCCCCCCCGCCCGCCCCCCGGCATCTTTTCCTTTGCGCAGGAAGCCCAAGATATCCGCATTGGGGCAGTACTGTGCCAAGTACCGCCCGTACGGCATGGCGGTGAGCGTGGTCGAGAAGGGCGGAAAGGTCGTGCTCTCCAAGGACGCCGACGCACCCTCCTCCGTCTCCAACAGCGGCAGCCCAGCTTCCTCTGGCCGAGCCTCGGGCCAGATCAGCCCGGGCCAGTCCGGGAGGTTCCAGCGCAAGGGCGGGGGAGGGTCAGGGCCGGGGTCGGGCGCGGGGACTGGGGCGAGTACCCCGAATAGCATGGACGGCGGTGGGGGGTTTCCCAGGCGGGGGGGGAGTGTTGCTGGGATGAGCGGAATGGGTGGCGGCGGTGGAGGTAGTTTTGGTGGGCGGAGTAATAGTGGTGGTGTTGGTGGTGGGGTTGGTGGGGGTGGGGGTGGTGTGACGCCGGAGGTGTCTGGAGTGTTGGAGCCGACCTACAGTGGGACGTTCAGTGACGGGGTCGAAGGCCAAGCGCAAGGTGAGAGACGAGTTGAGATGAGATGGGATGAGATGAGATGCATCTTTGATTCACCTGATACACATTCTCCCCAACCACCTCCCTACCTCCCAACCTTCCCACGTTCCTTGTGGCCTTCCTTGGTTGTGTCGTTCCCCCACCTTAGTTCTTCTTCTTGCTGCCTCATGCCTCTCCGTATGCCACATCCAAGCAACTGTCATGTATCCTACCGGCCCAACCCTTTGCTGCCCAACCCTTCCTGACCTCCTGCCTGCGTCCACCATCATGACCCCCCCATCCTTCCCCACCCTCCACCCATTCCCCCCACTCTCCCCCCCCCCACCCCGCCCGCCCCTCAGCCCTGGACCCTCTCCGCACCTCCCCCGCGCGCGCCCTCAACCCTGACCCCCGCTCCAACCCCAACCGCCTTCTCCTCGCCTCAGACGTCCGCTCCTCCCCCTCTCGCGCCGCCATGCCCACTCCCCCCTCCGCTCTCTCCGCCCTCGACTCCTCCGCGCCCCTCCTGCGCCCCTCTGGCCTAGGCCCGCGCGGGTCCATGAACGAGCGGGTGCTGGGGGGAGTGGGGGGGCTATCAATGGGGGGCAATGGCAGCGGCACCTTGCAGCCTGTGTACGGCACCCAGCCGGGTGGCGGTGGGGGTGGGGGGCCAGTGGGAATGAGCTCGTCAGGCTCCCCTAGCACCAGTGGGTCGACTAATCTCCTCATGACGGGCCGCCGCTTCCCCCGTGCGGGCTCTTCTGACTCCTCGCCCACCTCCTCCACCTCCTCCCCCAATTGGAACCGCCCCGGTGCTCCGGGCGGCGGCACTTCCTCTGCTGCCGCAGCAGCCGCTGCCGCTGCAAATCTCCAGCAGGGGCAGGGGGTGGGGGGCCCACAGGACGCAGTGGCAGTGGGGCTGGCAGCCGGGCTGCAGGGAGAGGCGCTGGAGGATTTTGTGGCGTGGAGGAGAGGCAACCCCATGGCGACGTACGCGCAGCAGCAGGAGTACATCCTGGAGGCGCAGCGGCGCATGGCGACTGGTGGCGCGGGGATGATGGCGATGATGCAGCAGCAGCAGCAGCAGCAGTGGAAGGGCCAGGTGCCGGGGCTCATGTCTATGAACTCTCTGGGGTCTGGGGCCTCTGCTGATGAAGGCAATGTGAGTGCCCCTGCAGTGCCCGCTCACTCGCTCTCTCTTGCTTTCAACGACGAGACGCTTGTTCTACAAGGAGAGAACACCATCTTGTGGAATTCTTGTTTTGCTACCTCCTCTCCACCACACCCACCCAACCCCCTTCTCCCCCCCGTCCTCCCCTCGCCTCTTCCACTCTTTTCCTCTGCCCTCCATTCCCCAGACTTCCCTTCCCAATCCTCATTGCTCATCCAGTGTGCAACTCCTGCTCACTTGCTCTATCTTTTCACAGTCTTCTCTCCGTTGCTTTTCCCCTTCTCTTGGCTCTCCTCCCCCTCACACCCATCACCCCCCTTGCTCCCCTCTCCCACCCCCCCACTCTCCCCCGCTCTTCTTCCCCTCTTTTCCCCTCTCTTCCCCCCTCGCTCCCCCCATCTCCACCCCCGCCCCCCCCCCCCCCGCTGCAGGACGATCTGCGGAAGGAGCTAGAGCGTATGCGTCTGCGCGCAGCAGAGGCCGAGCGCGCGCAAGCCGAAGCCGAGCTGCGCGCGCAACGCCTCATGATGGAGGCCGAAACCTCCGTGCGTGCAGTCGAGGCCCAGCAGCGGCAGAAGGAGCTGGAGACCGCAGCACGCATGGAGCAAGCCGCCTTAGAAGCGATGACCGCACAGGCTGCGGCCGAGCAGGCGCGACGGGCTACCGAGGCAGAGGTGCTGCGGAAGGCCGCAGCGAGGAAGGAGGCCGCGGCGAAGGTGGCGGAGCTGGAGGTGCAGGCGAAGAGACGGAAGGAGGCGGAGTTACGGGCGCTGAATGGATCCATGGGGGGGAACTCTGTGGGGAGCAGCGGGAGCAATGGGAAGGGCGGGGGAGGAAGTGGGTCGGGGGGAGAGGGAGCGGGAGGGAGTGGGGAGGGTGGGGAGCAGAAGCAGCAGGGGTCTGGGGGGAGTGCGGTGGGGAGTGGGTCGGGAAGTCCTGTGATGCAGGAGGGGCCGTTTGTGGAGCACACGTGGGAAGAAATGAAGGTGAGGGGAGGGGGGAGAGAGGGGAGAGGGGGGGAGAGAGGGGAGAGAGGGGGGGGAGGGAGTCTATTTTTTAGGCGCCTCAAAAATTGAAATGAAGGTGAGGGGGGGGGAGAGAGGGGAGAGAGGGGGGGGAGGGAGTCTATTTTTTAGGCGCCTCAAAAATAGAAATGAAGGTGAGGGGGGGGGGGAGAGAGGGGAGAGAGGGGGGGGAGGGAGTCTATTTTTGAGGCGCCTCAAAAATAGAAATGAAGGTGAGGGGGGGGGAGAGAGGGGAGAGAGGGGAGAGAGGGGGGGGAGGGAGTCTATTTTTGAGGCGCCTCAAAAATAGAAATGAAGGTCAGGGGGGGGGGAGGGGAGAGAGGGGAGAGAGGGGGGGGAGGGAGTCTATTTTTGAGGCGCCACAAAAATAGAAATGAAGGTGAAGGGGGGGGGGGGAGAGGGGGGGGAGGGAGAGGAGGGAGAGGAGGGAGAGGGGGGGGAGGGAGAGGGGGGAGAAGGGGGGGAGGGGGGTGGTGAGGGGATGAGTGTGGGAAAGAGGGAGAACGGCCGGGTGGTCGTGGGGTGGGTAGTGGGTATTGAAGAGGAGTGAGGGAGTGTGGTTGTCCTTGTACTGATTTTTTTCTAAAGAGGGGAACTGCACAAAGGCTGTGGAACTCACAAACACTAGTCCCTATGAACCCGCAAGGCATAGAAGTAAACATCGCCCTTTCCCTTCACTCCCCAACACCCTCCCCTTGCTCTCTATTCCGACCTCCTCTCTGCCTCCCCTGCTTGGGCAAAACTCATTCCTCCCCTTCCCCTCAAACCCCCACCAAATTCCCCCATACCTCCCCCATCTCCCCACCTAACCCTCCCTCATACCCTATCCCTACTCCCCCACCTCCTCCTTACCCCTCCCGCTCCAACCCCCCCCCTCCAACCGTCCTCCAGGCGTGCACGGACAACTTCAGTGATGCGCGCAAGATCGGCGAGGGCGGGTTTGGGACGGTGTTCCTGGGCACGCTGCACCACACGCCCGTGGCCGTGAAGGTGCTCAAGAGCCGCGACCACCACAAAGTGCAGAACGAGTTCCGCCAGGAGGTCAGTGCTCCGCCCCTCACCCCCTCACCCCCTCAAAAGTGAACCCCTCGGCCCCTCAGAAGTGAGCCCTCAGCGCTGGCCAGCCCTCAGCCCCGCGCAACCCCGAAACCATGTGAGGAGTCTATTTTTGAGGCGCCTCAAAAATAGACCCCGCCACCACGTGCCACGAGTCCCGCTCTCTTGCGTTGCTCCCTGCCCGTTCTCCCCCCCCTTCTGCCCTCCGTGTGCTTCTCTTTCTCTTCCCATGCGCCTCAACGCGCCCCCATGCCAAAGCGCCCGTCTCTCATCTCCTCCATGCTCTCCTCCTCACATCCTTGCTCTTAATCTCCGCATCCTGCCTCACCCCCTTCCCCAGGTGATTTTTGAGTCGACTCAAACCTCAACCCCTTCCCCATTCCTCCCCATTCCTCTCGCCCCTCCCCTCCCCAGGTGGGTGCTGGTCCTCAGTTGCCGTCCAGCACCCACTCAATTTTCAAGGCGCCTAAATAATTAGCTCCCCCAGTGACAGATTGTTTAGAATTCCCAAAAATTGACTCCCCTGGTCCTCCCCATTCCTCTCTCCCCCCCCCTTCCCCCACCTCCACCTCCCCTTCCCCCCCGCCAGGTGGCGGTGCTGAGTCGCATCCAGCACCCGCATGTGGTGATGCTGCTGGCGTGCTGCTCTTCGCACTTCTGCCTCATCTACGAGTACATGGCGGGCGGCAGCCTGGACGAGCGCCTGCGCTGTGCCAAGGGCTGCTCCCCCCTCCTCTGGCACTCACGTCTCCGCATCGCAGCAGAAGTCGCCTCGGCGCTCCTCGTCCTCCACAACCGCCCCGTGCCCATCGTCCACCGCGACTTAAAGCCCGCCAACATCCTCCTGGATAAGAACCTAGTGGCCAAGCTCGCGGACGTCGGGCTCGCGCGGCTCATGCCGGCCGCCGACGACTCGTCCGGCAACGGCAACGCGGTCATGCGGACGTACGCAAGGGAATCAGTAGCCGTGGGGACCTTTGCCTACATGGACCCGGAATTCCAACGCACTGGGGAGTACGGGCCGAAGTCCGACGTCTACGCGCTGGGGATCGTCCTCCTGGATTTGCTCACTGGCCTCCGCCCTAACGCGTTCGAGGGGCTGGAGGATGCGGTGGACGACGAGGACGAGGACGCACTCGCAGCTCTCCTCGACAAGACCGCGGGCGACTGGCCGGTGCCCCTCGCGATGGAGATTGCCAAGATGGCGCTCAAGTGCTCGGAGATGCGGCGGAGGAGCCGGCCGGACCTGGCGACGGTGGTGATGCCGGTGCTGGAGAAGGCGAGGGAGATTGCAAGCAAAGTGGAGGAGGAGGTCGAAGCCGCGCCCTGGAAGGCGGGGAGTATGCCCAGCCCCAGGAAGGCTGCTAGCTGCTTCTTTTGTCCGTTGACCAAGGTACAGGCAGTGGTGGTGGGATGGGACGGGATGGGTGTGGCGGGAGAGGGGGGGGTGGGAGTGGGAAAAAGGGAGGGGAGGGGAGGGGTGTTGGGGGGGTACGGGATTAGTTTTTGCGGTTTTTGTACCTCCTGCTACACACTGCCCTCCTCTCATCAAAAGGCTGCTTGAAACATCCCCTCCCCTCCACCTTTCTCCCTCAATCCGAACCCGCCTCCTCTCGCACCCTCCCTCCCAGCCCTGCATCCCAACTTTTACCCCCCCTGCAGCCGGGGTGACAAAGTACCCTGTGCACGCAGCGGACGGTGGTGTTCACTTACGGCTAATGTACACGGCTGCACGGCATGAATGAGGTGACTTTTGAGTCGACTCAAAAGTCACCTTGGCTGCACGGCATGAATGCTGTAACATGATGCTGAACCCATTTACCCTTACACCCCCCCCCCCCCCTCCCCGTTGCAGGAGGTGATGCAGGACCCGGTGCTGGCAGCGGACGGGCACACGTACGAGCGCGCGGCCATCGCCAAGTGGCTGGCGGAGGGCAACAGCACATCGCCCATGACCCAAGAGCTGCTGCCCAACACTGACGTCATGCCCAACCATGCCATCCGCGCCATGATCACCGAGTGGCGCGACGGCAAGTAGAGGGGCGGCAAGTAGGTGGGAGGGGGGCACAGGGTAAGGTGGAAGGCGGAAGGGGGATGGAGGAAGAGGATGAGGGATGATGGGTGGGGGGTGGGTGGTGGGTTGAGGAAGAGAGTAGGGAAGGGGGATTTTTAAGAGATGTGGGAAGGGAGGAGGGTGAAGGGGAAAGGGAGCGGGTGAGAGGGGGAAGGGGTGGCAGAAGGGAGGGGTTGATGGGATAAGGGACAAAGGGGAGGAGGAGAAAGAGTTCGGGAGTGGGGGGGGAGGAGGGGAGGAGAGGATTAGGTGGCAACTGAAAGTAGTACCATGGAGGGATTGAGAAAGGTTCTATTTGATTGTGCCATCTTGTCTTTACTACTGTCTCAGCTCGTAGTGCTGCCCTGTGATGCTGCTCAGCAGAACTAGACCTGCGATGGTATTTATGTAACATGCTTTGTTGAATATACTGTTCATCTGTGTGCACTGGGGCTGTAGGGGAACCAGAATAGGAAAGGGGGGTCTTGGCTTGAGGGGAAACAGAGGTACCGGTAGTATGCGCTCTATGGGTTGACATTGTACCATCAAGCAGATGTACCGTAAGCCCCTGGATATAAAACCCGCCGAAATTAAGCACCCACTGGTGTTATATCCCGGGAGGGTGTTCTATTGAAGGATCCGCAATTATACACCCTCTTTTTGAGGGTTCCAGGAGAGCACCCCCCCTTACCATTTTGGCCTTTCTAAGCCTTCCAACTCTTGGAACAAATACTGTTTTTTTCATGCGATTTCATGGTGAGCACACGACCATTACGCAAAAGTTCAATTTTACCGAGGTGCGCGTCTCAAAGTTAGAATGATTGACTAGAATGGGAGCATACAGGGTATGTAGCTAATGGGTTGTACTCTCTATGGCGCATGACCCTATATAATCTACTAAACATACACACATATGTTTGACACACCCACTAGACTAGATAGGGGCAGTGCCTGGTGAGAGACAAGCAGCTCAGGGCGGCACTACTAGTTCAACCTCTGAGGCAGGGGTCTAAAGACCAGTCAAAAGAGTACAAACAAGGCAAGATCAAGCCCAGGGCAGCACTACTAGTCCAGCCACTGGGAGAAAGCCAAAAGGCCAGTCAGGATAATATATAAAGAGTTATACACAATCAAGGTCCTAGCAAATGAGGAGCTACAAGAACGAGACCAAGCTGTACGAAGTGCCGCTAATGATCTTTAGGCGCAAGCGCCTTCCGTAAAGATATCAGTTGGGTTGACACTGGAGGCCAAGTGTACTACGCAGGCCTGGCGACGCTGCTGTAGCTGGTGCAGGAGGAAGTACCGCAGCTGAATGTGCTTCGATCTGCCCTCCAGTCGAGGCTCCTGACACAGGAGGATCATGGCCCTGTTGTCAGCGTACAGAACCGGGGCAGAGCTAGGCCGCTCTCCTAAGTCTGTGAGCAAGAAAGTCAGTCAACGGAGCCCCTGTGCCGCCATGGCACTGGCGTAGATCTCAGCCTTACAGCTAGACTGGGCAACAGACGACGAGCGGGTGGACCTCCACGAGACAGCACCTGCACCAAGGCTAAAGTAGTAGCCCTCGAAGGACCTGAGAGCCTCGGCGTCGTCTGCCCAAGAAGGGTCTGTGTGCCCGGTAAGGACCACTGGTCTGCGTCCTCCTAGAACTAGCCCCATGCCCGATGTACTTGCTAGATAACGCAAAAACCTCTTAGCTGCAGACCAGTGTTGTGGTCGGTGTCTGCCGGAGGCCACAAAGCGGGCCAGGATGCTGAGAGGGTATGCGACATCTGGACGAGTGCAAGTCATCAGGTATATGAGGCAACCCACCAGCTCTGCGTAAGGACCACTACACTCTACAGCCTCTTCCGGGACTGGAGCAGAGAGTCTGTGGTCTACTGGCAGAGGGGTGGGCTGTGCAGACGAGAAATGAAGGCCGAACCTCTGAAGGACCTGGCGCACCAAGTGTGACTGTGAGAGAGTGATGGTGCATGCAGCTCTGTTCCTGGAGATCTGCAAGCCAACGTAGCATCACAACTCTCCTAGGTCAGTGCTGGTGTGTCTCCTCCGCAGCTCGGCCTTCACGGAGGCCAGCGTGTCTTTGCAAAGACCAGATTGTCTACGTAAACAAGGATGTAGAACGGAGTCTTGCCGGAACGTACGAAGAGCGAGGGGTCTCCAGACGACGGGAAGAACTGCAAGTCAACAGGTGTAGCACGCAACGTGTCGTGCCACTCACGGGGCGCCTGGCGCAGGCCGTAGACGGGGCGCCGGAGGAGCCAATCGGTACCAAGGGGAAAGGTACCGGAGAAGCCTTGGGGGCGGCGCAGGTAGACCTGCTCATGTAGACTGCCCTGGAGGAAAGCTGTGGAGAAGTCGAGGGAGTGGAGCTCGTAGTCACGCTGTGCTGCTACGTATAGCAGTGCCCGAAGAGTAGTCATCTTCGGGGTCGGGGCGAAGGTCTGAAAGAAGTCAACATCCTCACGCTGACTGAAGCCACGAGCAACGTAGCGCGCCTTGAAGACAGGCGGCTCTCCAGGTGGGCGCTTCACCTTGAAGACCCATCGGCCATAGACTACGTTCACCCCAAGCGGGGGAGCTGCGTCGATGAAGGTACCGGTGGATGTCATAGATGCCATCTCCTGCTCCATGGTAGCTATCCACTGAGAGGCCCAAGGTCCCGAGGTGGCCTCAGCATAGGTGCAAGGGGTCGAGATGTCAAGGGCGTCTGGGTCACCCTCAGGGACTAGCAGCATGGAACAGAGATGGGGAGCGTCCTCTGACAGGAAAGCAAGCTCATACTGTCTGTCCTCTAGGACGTCATTGCCAAGGGCAGCCATACCCCCGACGGACGGAGGGCAGGCAGGGTCAGAGACCAGAGCACTCGCGTAGTTAAGGCGGCGGGTAGCAGCGAAGTCAGTGACAGCAGCAACAAGAACTGACAGACTCGAGACAGGAACGGATAGGTCGGTAACAAGAGAGGCAAGGACACGAGGAACAAGAGGACGCGTGGCACGGAGGAAGTCAGAGAACGGAGGCGGGGCCACAACGAGCGATGACGGAGGAGGAGACGGGAGGAGTGGAGGAGCATGAGACGCGTGGGAGCGAAGCAACATAGGGTGAGAACATGGAACAGGGGAGGTAGGACGAGCACGAGACGGACAACGAGCCCAGACGTGAGACGGAGGAGTCGGGTCAGGAGAGAGGGGAGGAGACACAAGAGGAGAACAAGGAGGGAAACGAGCCGGAGAAGAGTCCGCTGGAGGAAGCATAGGGCCGTAGACCGGCAGAGGAGGAGGCGGTGGCGACCGAGGAGGCACTGACGGGCAGTCAGGGGAAGGAAGGCCGAGTAGGGGAAGAGCGGACACCGGCGGTGACTGCGGCGGCTAATGCACGACGCCAACACCAGAACCTCCAGCGGCACCACGGCTCCCTCCGAGAAGCTCCACGCCAGCACCCCCAGAACGGGAACCAGCTCCATTACCCGCTCTGGCACACTCCCCAGCACCCCCAGAACGCACAATCCCCAGCGGCGGTGATGACGGCAGCTGAGGCTGCGGTGGCGACGGCAGCTGCGGAGGCGGCTGCGGCTGCGACAGCAACGTCGGCGACAGGGGAGGAGAGACCAAGGTGGGGACAGGCGGTGGAAGGGACTCCGCCGAGCCGCGAGAGTCAGCAGACTCCTCGGTAGGGACAACCGACGGGAGGGGGCTGACATGAGACACACCAAACGGGGCAGGGAGGGGAGGGGGGGGAGCAGGGGCGACCAAGGGGGGGGGGGGGAACAAGGAACAGGGGGGGGGGGTAACCGGGGGACCACGGTGGGGAAAGCGGTGGTAGAAGGAGACGGACTCGTCAAAGGTGACCTCGCGGGAGTGAAAGAAACGGTGAGAAGGCGGGTGGTAAAAGTGCCACTCAAACAAGTCAAGGGGGAAACCTAGAAAGACACAGGGGAAAGTGCGGGCAGTCAGCTTGTCCGTGCCAGAGGCACGAACGGTAGCAAGGCAGCCCTTGACGTGGAACACAAACCTGTGGTCGGCGTAGCGAACTGCGAACAGCTACAGAAAATGAGGTGCATCGGCATGGATCATGGAGGTACGAGCCACCTCCATGACCAAACCAATGCGTTGCTCAGCGACCCCATTCTGCTGCGGGGAGTCCGGCAGGGTCTACGACTGGGTGATGCCCTCCGCACGACAGAAGCGACCAAGGCAGTGAAAGGCGAACTCGCCACCATGGTCGTAGTGAAGACGCAACACAGGGAGACCTCGGTGAACACGTGCAGATGCAAGCCACGGGATAAGAACGTTAAGCATGCCGGTTTTTCGCTCTAGGGAAAACACCGTGGTGTAGCGCATGTAGTTGTCGACAAGCACTAGGAAATAGCGCTCACGACGCGGCCCATGTGCAGGGTCTACAGCGGTGCGGCGGTGGGGGGAACGAGGAGGAGTGAGGGGCACGGCAGAGCCGGCCCTCGACGCAAGGGGTGCACGGCGGCGCTGCCGAGGAGGGGAGCGAAGGGAACGACGCAGGGAGACCTAATACAAGATTGCGCTGAGACATATGACGGAGACGTGTGAGGGCGGGGTGACCTAGACGAGCAAGCTGCAGCAACCTGGATAAACGCTGCCACCTGGGGGGGCGTCCCAACCGGGGTGGACGCGGTGTCCAACGTGAATGGGCCAGACACCGGGTCCCAGGGGAACGTGGTGAGGGGGGCACCAGTGGCGGCCTCGGTACAGACAGCGTACCTCTTGTGACTAGGGAACGTAATGGTGACGCTGAGGTCCTGAAGGCAGCCGACACCAACTAGGTTCCGTGAGAACGAGGGGATGTGCAGGCCTGTAAGAGAGCCCGATGGAACTACCAAACATGGGAGAGTGGTGGAACTACGGGTGACTACCGGACCTGAGGAAGGGTATGCAAGGGCAAATGCGGCAGGGGTGGCAAGCGGCGTCAGCGTAGTGTGGTCCCGAAAGAAACACCGAGATGTGCCAAAGTCGAGAGTGAAGGAGAGTGCGGCAATGGCGGCTGGGGGCAGAGGAGCTAGAGTGGAGCCAAGGCTAAACAAAGCAAGTGGTCATACGCTTGACGCAGCAGCGAAGCATAAACTAGGCACACTGGGCACACCTACATTAGGCAACACGGGTAATAGGAACCAGTCACACTAGAGTCATTGCCATACAGTGCATACAATGCAGAGCTAATCTCATCCATGTCCATATAAAAGATCCTAACACCACGATAGTGGAGCAGAGTGTGCCAGTCGTGGAGGTCCAGCGCGAGGCCGAAGCGAAGACGAAACAGGTCGTCCAGGAGACTGAAATAGCGAGTGGGAGTATGATCGATCTTACCGCACACGAGGCCGCGGCGAGGACCGGTATGGAGCTGGTACTGGCAGCGCACGTCACTCGCACCACCACCCGACGACGAGCTATGTGCACGACCACCGCGACCACCACCAC